TATTATTATTATTATTATTATTATTATTATTATTATTATTATTATTATTATTATTATTATTATTATTATTATTATATTTTATTATGTTGTATTATTGATATTACTTAAACCAAAATGCTAGCTGAATTTCTGAAATACAATAATTAAACAGATCTTACATTAATAACTTATTTCAAATCCACCTGACTACATGGCAGCCACTACCCAAGAACTGACACATGTACATCACAGCCAAAGTACAATATTTTCAGAAGTTGTTTGGCAGCATCTTGCTTGTTCTTATATCTATCCTGTCTTCTTCTGAAATGCAGGACAAAGAAAAAGAGCCTTATTCCAACCTTACAGAAAACTCGTGAGGATGGAAAATGGGAGAAAAGCTTCTGTTTGATTGAGTCAGCCTTTCCTTAAACAAGTTTAGTTCTGGAAATATTAAATCTTGCTTTATTTCCCAGTTACAATTTGGATTTCATACTAACGTGAAAAAACTTCAGTTAGAAGTAAATGCTAGAAATTTCCAATAACCAGAAAGCCATTCACGGAGACAAACTTTATTTTCTGCAGGCAAGAGAAGCCCATCATTTTTCCTAAGTGAAAGCAACAGTTCCCCCTTCCCACATTTATGTGTTGAAATAAATATAGCTCAGACCTGAACATTCCCATTGATGCAAAACTAAAAGATGAGGGGGGGGGGAAGAGTGTGTTGATAGCTAAAAATGGTACTTAGATGGAGAGCTGATGATAAGAGGAGAGGCTTTCCAAAGAAGAAAGCACTCTGCAAGTGCCATATCAAGCAATCCAGCAACTTCAATTATTAGCAAGTCCAGTAGGAAGAATCCTTGGGCTTCGCCATTCTCCAAACCTGCAAATGGTAATATGACTTGTACACAGTCATATGCAAATAAAGCATATTTGGGAACCTTCTGGACCAAAAGCTATTCTGGCCTATGAAGTCAATCCATCTGGACATAGAGATTCCAGCAAAGCTTCTCCACATCTTCCACAATCATCATTAGGTGCATGACATTTGGAGGCATCTCAACTAGACCTAAGCAGTTTACAGAGTCAGCATATCACCCCCAACAATCTGGGTCCTCATTTTACCGGCCTCAGAAAGATGGAAGGCTGAGTCAATCTTGAGTCAGTGAGAATCAAGCTGCTGGTAGTTGGCAGAATTAGCCTGAAATACTGCATTGTAACCACTGCGCCTCCACGGCTCTATCGTAACTGGGTTGTAGAGAAAGTAGTTATACCTACTTCTGGACCTTTTCATTCTTCACAAAGAAACTACATTTTCAACTATGCTCAAGGAGAAATTAAGCTGATGAGCTCAATATTCGCACTGTATATTTATTCTGATAGATCATAGCCTGAGTTTACTTATCCTTGGTCCAAGGAACAATTTAGCTTTCAGATTACTTGAGCTCTGAACACTTCACCTAATTATATAAAATTATATCATGTTGTGAAAGCTATTGGCTAAGTTAAGAGTCAAATGTATGAATCACATACTTCAGTGCTGCAGGCATCAGTTAGTCCCTAAATCTCCAACTGTGTATTTATTTAAACTTCATTCATAAAGATCTGGGCCACTTCCATTTATCCATTACTGCCAGTGGGCATCAAAGTATTCTCAACATCCATAGCTGCCACATGAAATATACATTTCCTTCAACTGTACCCAAATGACTAATTTTCTGCTCTTTATTGATTAGCATAATAAAAAATCTCATGACAACGAGACATAGAAATGTTACCATTTATTGCCAGTTGAAGTGAGCAATGTTTCCTGCATAAAAATTAACAAAGCAAATGTCTCTGTTCTCCCAGATGCATTGCATGAATGCAAGACATTTCTTAAATCAAAAATGTTACTTAGGTGCTTGCAGTTTTCCCTTCTGGTCGAGGTGTCCACAGGATGTAGTCACTCTACAGAGTTAAGATAGTCAAGTACAGTGGTGTACTCATTTGAGCTGTGGTGCTGGAGAAGACACCTGTGTATTCCTTGGATAGCAAAGGTGACTAACAAGTACTGGAGCGCATAACACAAGAAATGTCAGTAGAAGGCAAAATTACGAAACTGCGTCTCACTTACTTTGGCCATGTCATGCATGGAAATTCACTGGAGAAAGCAATTATATTTGGAAGAATTAGGGGGAAAAAAATCAGGCTGCCAAAGAACATGGTGGCTGGACACCATCAAAATTGACACCAGCCAGAGCATAGAAAACTCAAAGAAATAGGGCAAGATCAGAAGACATGGAGAGACCTGGCCCATAGAATTGTCAAGAGTCGGACTCAACTGAATGGATATCATCATCATCATTATCATCATCATCATCACAATAGTGTGATTGTAGCTCTACCTGTTTTCTATGTGTGTTGCATGTGCAATGCACACTGACTACAATAACAACAACAAACACAGTCAATGCCACATTGTAGCTGCTATCTTGATTTTTTTCTATCATACCCTTCAGACACTCTTTTTTTGATTCAGAAAAATCAAATTAAATTTTTGTTATAATAGTAGAGGAATGTCCATTATGCAGCACTTGTTGAATAAACTATGTCAAATGCAAACTTAATCCAGTCAGTGGTGTACTACTACATTATTTGTATAAATAGAGTAAAACTGATTTTTCCTCTTTGGGGGCCCAGGGGATGAACCCTAAAGGATTCAGTGATTCAGTGCTAGGCATTTTTCATTGGCTAGGCAAAGAACAAGATCATTCTTTCTTTCCATTCCATTTGAAAAAACAGCTGGTCAACAATGATGTTGGCATATCTCCATCTAGATTAGAGGCAGGGTGCATGGCACATGGCTCTGGCCTCCAGCACCTGTTTCTCTCTCAATGTCTTCTGCCTGAAACCAAGCCCTCACTTGATCGAACACAAGATGGGATTTTTAAAAGGTCACATATGGCCTTCAGTTCTTTTTTATAGTTCAAATATCTTCTGAGAATACCTAACAGGCCACTGAAGCTATTACTGTCCAGCATCTGCAGTCTGGTTCTCCATA